ATTCTACTGATAACTAGTGTAATTTTACTAATGGAGACAAAAGTGAAAAACATTTTTTTTCTTTTTTCATGTTAGACATCATAGCTGAACCTCAACAGAAAATGGTTTAAATTAGGTCAAGCACCCTCAAAATTACAGAACAAAGAGGAAGTACCAAATGAACTTGAGCGTCAACATTTCCTTATTAATTTATCAACCATCTGGTTACATTTTTTTTTTTTTTCTTCCTAACTTCATTTTCCTTTTCTGAACCATCAAAAATAAGAAAATCTTCAGATTTTTGTACTAGAAAATTTAACTTCATGAGCTAGTTCGAAGGAAGCATGAAAATTAAGATTTTCAAAAGTACATATTTATCAAATCACGTACCTTATGCATAGTAAAATAAAGGAATAATTAAGTAAAACATCGTTAAATCATGTCCAAAACTAATTTTATCAAGCTCAAACTAGGGGATAGCCATGATGTCCATAAAACATTGTTAAATCATGTCGAAAACTAATTTTATCAAGCTCAAACTGGGGGGCAGCCATTAAGTCCATAAAACATTTTTTTTGTCTTGGCAAAAGGTGTCTGTGTGTGTGTGTGTGTGTGTGAGAGAGAGAGAGAGGGAGGGAGAGAGAGAGCAAAAATTAAATCCACATAAAAGATGATTCTCCACATAATTGTGCCATCGACATTCATGAAATAACAAAAGAGAGAAACACACAGTAACACAATTGAAAATATAAAGAATGTTTTAGCATACTACAAGGAAACATAAATAAAATCAAACAAACCTCATCCAATTTTTTCTCCCTATCCCGCAACGCAGATTTTGCCTGAATGTATTTCTCATTCCAATTCTCATATACATCAGAGCTCAAGTTTCTATAAGCCAGGCAAAGAGTACGCAATCCAGATGCTCCGAACTGCTCCAAGTGCTCCCTAGTTGTTCTTTTCAAATCGTTGTTTCCATCTACCAACCTCTCGTATATCACGGTATCTGCACCCTGTAAATATGTTGTAGAAACATGCTGATTTATTCCTCATGAAAAAACTTAAACGACAGATGCATACAACCTCATATAGATACCTTGCAGTAGAGTACAAGTCTACCATCTGGATAGCGACATACAACAGATTGGCGCTTCCTTGTACTACACACCATGCCAAAAGAATTTTCAGGAAATGTATCAATCCAATTAATGAAAAATCACAAGCAGATTAAAAAAATAATAATGTACCTGTTGAACTCAAGAACGTTTAAGATTTCATACGCAACATCTTGAACCTTTCCCATCTTCTCAACATGTGACTCACGAACATAAATAGTTGTGGGTGAACGCCTGCATTTTGCCCACGTAAATCACAGTAAAAGCCATGATATTCTCAAAGCAGTAAAAGAACAATTGAAAAATGCGTACTTGTAGAAAAAGAAGCCAAAATTCTTTGCTGCAGTAACCAGGGCAGATTCATCAGGCGATGCAGCTTGATATCGGATCTTTTCAGGGGACTCGTCACCTTCAGGAAGCACAGTATGGCATATAGCAAGGCACCTGAAGAATTCCTACACAAAACAAAAAACAAATCAAATGGCTACCTCTATAAGTATGCACATAAATAAAATGTCTGAAAAATGTATGTTACGAATTAAAACCAAAAGTATGTTGGTCTTAGTGGAACAAACAGGACCAGGGCAGGAACTGGAACATGGATAGATGCTAAAGACTGCACTAGGTTTTGGTATACATTTGCAACATTTGACAAAATAAACTTTTCAGTAGATAACCCACCTTGCAAGACTCAGCATTAGGTTCATTCTTCCAAGCACCTCTCATAAGCCGAGAATCATCAAAGTTGAAACCCTTTTCACGTGCTGCATTTGACTGTTTCTCAACCTGAAAAAACGAAGGCATTAAATTACGGCATGGCACACCTAAGACTATCTCATGAACCTTTAAAGTAAAAGAAACATACATCAATTTTAACTCCAGTGCGCTGAGCTGTTCCCATCTCTATTTCAGTAACACCAGTACCATAAATTTCTCCCCCAATCGAACATTTGAAAAATTCCATTAAGTTTCTTGTTAGTGTCCCAGTTTTGTCAGAGAAAATGTACTCCACCTATCATAATCAATCCACATGAAAATTAGTTAACAAGAAGCAGCAGCAGCAGTCCGAATATTTCCAAGAAGAAAGTCTCATTAAAGCGCTGGTCCAATTTCTACTAGTCAAACTTGGGAACTAAATCAAGGAAACAAGTTGACATTCAGTCAGCCACATGCTTCCTACATCAAAAAAAGGTTAATGAAGGAAACCCTCTACCTGGCCAAGTTCCTCATTTAAGTTGGATGTTCGTGCCAATGCAGGGGTATTGCTCTCAGCGTGGTACATGTGTAAATCATTGTTGATGAATTGAGTGGATTGGATAAATTTAATCATCTGAAATAAACAGAGGAAAGTTACAGATGTATGACAAATGCTTAAACCTCTAAACTAACAGCACAATTGTTGTGGAGTCTACCTCAACGGAAACATACAGAGAAATGGGTATGATTGGTGAATAGAGAGTTATAAGGGTGAAAAATGTCAAGATAGCAACCTGCAGAACATAAAAAGAGATTTGGAAAACCAAATTGATTGTGTGAAAATAGAAAATTATGGAAAATTAATTTCTCTACTCACCACAAATCTGTTGTCAGGATCAAATTGTGTCTCTGATCTGTCAAAATGCAAATAGATGTACTTCCGATTTATGAATATACCACTGCAAGATCAAGAAGTGGTATTATTTAACTTATGTATATGTCAATGAACTAGGTTACTAATCTCAAAAACTGGAAAAGCATACACAATAGTATGAACCTGCCAATGGCACCCAAAAGACACATAGAGAAAAGAACAGTAAACAGTGCAAGTATAAGCTTGTCGAGTTTCTTTTCCAATGTGCTTCTTTTGGAAGGTATTTTCATTGAGTTCATCATAACCTGCAAGTATACTACTGCTACGTTAAAAGGCAGGAAATAAACACCACATATGCGACAAGGTATAAATTAAGTGATATTAGTGCCAGAACCAGTAAAACAATCGACCATTTTGTATAAACAAGATTTGAGTCTCCAACAACTCAAGTAGCATATGACCACAAAAATAAATAAATAAAAAAAATAAGCAACAAGTTGAATAGAAGGTAAAGAATGGTACCTTCGTCTCATGCCCAGTAAAAATGACAGCACCAACAATATACTCTGTATTTCTTAGACTACATCCCTAAAAGATGTAATCAATGATTATTTGAGCACAAACACCAAGAACTAAATTGACATTAATAAACTGTAAATATTGATCAACAAGTAATACATTATGTCTAAGAGGTCACATGCATTCTCGTATCAATACTCTTGCAGAAAACTTGTGAACTAAGTCGAAGAAAGCAGCCTTGAGGATACGAACCACAAATCACATGGTGCCACAAAACTGGCACCTGTAGTTGGACTCGCGACAAAACAACTAATAATAGTAAATAATAAGCAGGAGTGCGGAGAAAGTGATATCATACCCGTAGTAGAAGTTGATTTGGACTGAGAGGCAAGGTTTGTTTATCAACAATCAAATTTCCAGTAAACGTGTATAGTGAATTATTTGGTTGCTCACATTGTACCTCACCTGCAATGAATATTTGAAATAAAATCAAAAATAAATGTGGAATAAGTGATTATATCGGATTCAGGTGATTTGTATGATCAAAATTTTAGACGATAATGTGAACTTTGTACATCCAACAGATATCCTGCAAGTTATTCAAAAAATAATTCAACCACAAGTTAGGGCATGGCTTCATGTTCACAAGTGTTATAAAGTGTTTAACCCCATTGCTGATGAAATTCTAAAGTAACAAGGTCACAATTCTCCAACTCAGCATCTCACATGCTAATCCTCTTGCAGACAGCAATTCGAAAAGCATATATGCTTTCTAAACAAGGTGACATACTTCATCAAACAATTTCTAACAGGTCATGTTTTATTCTTACCAAAACAAATGTTAGAGTTAGATAGTCAGGGGGAGGGGTGCACTCCCAGAAGAGTGAAGCACGGCCTATGAGGGCGAGCCTAATTGCCACCCTAGCGAGGTTCCAACCCAAAACCAATTGGTGATGGGAGGAGTAGCCCGCTAGGCTTATAGACTACGCTCATTTGCCTATAGAATCAGTATGAGACACCTCACAAGTGATATTCCAACAACAAATATCAACCATTGATAGCATCATAAATTTAAAACCACAAGTTAATTGCGAGACAACTCAGACAAGGGACAGAATGTACAGAACCTTTGAATTCACAAACTTTTTCAGGTGCCACATAATCCCAAGTCTTTTCCAGAGCTTTCCTTATCTTCAAATTAGTTTCACCATCCAAATTTGCAGTCTGCAAACCACCACGGACAACAATCAATCATAAGATGAATAAAAAAGAAACAAACAATGATGCGTGACCCAAAAGCTAGACCTCATAACTTAAACAAAGCAAGAGAAGAATAAAAGAAAATGGAACGACTAGATGATTTTTGGATGAGGTTTATCCATCACTTCTCTGGTAGATAAGAAATGATAGGTATTCAAGAAGTCAAAAACCTAACCTCGACGTAGCACACACCATCAGGGTTAGTGCTGGCCAGGAATAATATATCAGCAGGAAAAAACCCATCCTGCTTCACCTGTCAAAGATGACAAAAATCATCTAAGTCTCAGGTAAAATGCATTTAAGAAATAGTCATTCAGATAATATTAAAATTAAGCACCACATAGCTTGTGTTCGGAATATTATTCATATAAAAAAGCTTCACAAATATATAAATATCCAGAGGTTCTTCAGTTTTCAGTTAATGCAATTAATATTTGATAAAATAAAAGGTAAAAAATGTCGACTTTAAGAACATGGAAACGGGTTCAGCAATACAATAACTAATGTGTAGTCACAGTAGAAGACAAAGAAATAGGATTGGACATCCCCTGATGATACTCTTCAATGTCTGTCTCTATGTCATCAAGTAAACGCTTATTCTCCCTTTGATGGAAATATACAATCAAATAACACAATAATGATCACATATCAAAAAAATGCATTCAGTAAAGTACAAGATGCTTTAATTGCAACAAGATGAGTGAATAATGATGAGCTAGTCTTTGAGGCTATCTGATCCTCTAGCACAAGGGATCTTCGATTCAGTCTACAAAACTTAAGACAGTAGGGGAGGTCTTATACAAGCAAACTATGAGTTACGTAAAATTCTGACTCCATTAAAGCCCCCAGCTATAGTTGCTTCACTGAAGCAATTATTCAACTAATTGACTGAGTCTATTATTAATCACCATAACTCATCGTACAGCATACTCATCTTCAACTATTTCTAATACCTAAAAACCCAAAAGCTTAGTAAATTATTCACTCATCTTCCACTGCATTTACTCCTGACATGGTAAGATAAATATAATAATCATGGCATAGCAGATAATTCAACACCAAGATAGTAAACACGGAAGTAACTAATGAATATAGAACAGATAAGCTAGCGTTAATAGGTTCTAAGATAAGGGATCGGGTGACTTACTTTAACGATATCCCCAACCTGCAGCTTCTTCCAAGGAATAAACACCCACTGCTGATCTTGCAACACTTCAATGGTAGAATTGTTTATTGCCATGTCATTTTGAAAACGTTTCTTCCATGATGAAATAAGAAAAATAACAAGGACGAAAATGAGGTAAGAAGAAATCACGCATTGATGTTTTCTGCAGATGAATGAGGAGAGAGAATTGAGATACTCACCCAATCTTCCCATGCTTCTTTTATAAGAGATACAAGAAGCACCAACGTCAGTGGAAGCACATTTGTAATCGGACTTACAGGACTGCATGAGACCAAGCCTAAATCAGGATTCAGAACCAAATGCATAAAACTAAGGAAGCAATAGTCGATGGGAGCTGGAGCATATTAGTCGCCTATATCCCACTTCACCACTCAAACTTACTCCTAATTACTTAATTATGACTTCTTCTAGCAGTAAAAATCAAAAAAAAAAAAANNNAAAAAAAAAAAAAAAAAAAAAAAAAAGCTAATCCAAGAACGAAACCATGCCTCTAGAAACAGTTAAAACTGAATCAAGCCAACTTGCCCAAATGAGACTGGCCAGGAAAACCCGGTCCCTGCCCAGCTCTATTACCAGTGAGATAGGTCGTGCTGACGTTGACAGCTCTAGTTAGATCATAAACTTGGCCACCTCCTTAACCAATTGGCCAAAAACCTATTTGTATCTCATCAAGCTAATTCAAGATAGATTTTCCTAACCCTACCCTTTCATAATTAATTCTTGACTAAAACTTGGGATTGCGTTAAATTCATCGACACATCACAACCTTGGCCAATTTTCAGATAAGTTAACAAAATTTTCATAACTTTGGCATGTTTAAGACTGGGACTCTTTAGATGCTTCAAAAAGAGTCACAGAGGCTTGATAGTTTCACAGCTTTAAATATGAAATCCAGTTCCAATTTGTTATTTTCTCTTCCTACAAATATTTTCCCCATTTAATTGTTTAATAATCTAGAATCTGGTTTTTAAGTGCCATCCTGTATCTAACTATCAGTAGTTAAATAATATTGTCGCAACATACCTCACCGGGGTGCACGACAAGATTGATATCATCAGAAAATAGAGGTTAGCCACCCGCCTGAACTGTCAGCATAAATTAAAAATGAGAAATCAGGTCATATGGGTGGAAAATCTGATGGGTAAAAGACCAAAACCAACAGGATAGATATTTCATGTACACAAAGCATAGGAAACATGGTCTTCGAATTATCACTTGAATTCAATAACTACCTTCACGAATAGCAAGCAGAACAACGAAAAACTTACCTGCTCAAAAAGGCCTTTAGGTAAAAAGGTAAAAACATCATACTTCGTTGTGGAGACAGAATTGCTCTGAAAAAACAACAGGACCAATCAGATTACAACCAGAAGAGTTGTTCATCATGGAATGACAAGGCAATCTACACTACTCAGACTTCAAATCGTGTCATCAAATTTAACACTTCAGCCAGAAAGTTATCCAGGGTACTAGATCAATATAAAATAATTTAAAATCATAAACAGCAAAAGCAACTTCCACTCACGGGAAACTATAACTGTTTATAGTTAATCCACCGAGAACTTATGTAAGGGCCATCCATTGTCAAAACAAGATATCTCTTACATGAGAGAATTAATTACTGAATGCTTGAGGTGTGATTCTGATCATTATACATGCAAGGACCAAAGGCCATTCCTTCTGGTAGATGCTCATTAGATTTAACCTATTTCTTTTCGAGTAATTGCTCAACTGTTGATTCATTTCCTTTTCTTGATTATTCATTCCCTAAAAGTACTTCTTTTTCTAATTTCTCGATTCTAATTATCAGAACTCCCTATCTAACCCATTGAATGCAGCAAGAACACATAAAAAAAGGAAAATCTGAGAGGGAGAACATACACAAATTTATTCTAGTATATAACCACAGGTTGGTAGCTTAACTAAATATGAGCCTAATTTACTAATAACAGACCATCGAATAAAGAAGTAAATCAAAATGGTGAACGAACAATAGATAATTAATTAATTCTTGAGCGGCAGCACCTTACTTCCGTAACTTGCTTAAGGACTTTGTTTCAGCATCTAACTCCGCCAACGATACCAAAACATTTTACAAATAAACCATTTGAGAAACACACCCTCCTATAGAATAGTTACCAATCAATCCATAGTCGAATAAGTTAAGCTTACTCGAACTGCATATGAACCTAGGCATGTTACAGTTGATCAGCGAATAAAGAACACACGGCTCAACTCAAAAACTGTTATACATATAAATGCCAAAAACTTCAACATACTCCTGTTCTGGCAAAAATGTTGTCACTGGAGTTCACAACTACTATCATAGATTAAAAATAAAGTCAAATCGAAACTCTTGTACCCCGGTAACCAATTCCTCTAACATAAGAAAAATCACAAAGCCCAGTCCTCACTGTCCTTTTGTCACAAAAACGAAACACACATCGAAAGGAAACCATACCCACCCCGACAAAGAACACCTCTGGTTCCGCTATGTAATGCCATAAACCCAGGTTCACCTTTCCCCCGAATCAGACCCCCAAACAGTGAAAACCAATCTAAAAAAACAACTCAACGCAATGAAAACATTAAAGAAGGCCTGAATCGAGACGAAGACCTTGAATTTCGCGAGGGAGTTGCTATCGCGATCGTTGCAGAAGACGGTCCTGTGTCCCGGCGCCTGCGGCTGCACCTTCCCTAGACGAACCGTCTGAGTAGTCGACACCCGCTCCAACGCCCCCGCCCCTCCTCCGCCGGCGCCGGCGCCGGCGCCGTAGCCCTTCGATCCCCTCCATCCGACCATCGCCTCCACCCCAAAACTCCACCAGATTCACACTTGCAGAGATTCAAGAACGAAACCCTAAATACCTTCAAACCAAACGGATTGCTCGATCAAATCAAAAATGGAAACAGAAAAACACAGAGAATCAGTTGATGGTTGAATTGAAAAACGGGGGTGAGACTTGGTTTCGATTTCCTCTCCACTTGCCCTTACGACCCGAGTTTCGTATTTTAATCCGCGTGAAAAAAAATGGAAAAATGGGATCCACGCCCACGGGTTTCTCGGCGCGTGGAGGGTCTGCGGGAATTTAGCTTTGAGGAGTGTGGGCACGGTGGGAGAAGGCGCGTGGGAACGTGGGGAAGGGTGGTGGCTTCGCCGAGGCTGCAACGGCGTCGTTTCTTATACTATTATTTTTGAACTCGACGTCTGATTATCAGACAGTTGAGAAATGTGAAATTCGACAGTTCTATACTTTGACGAGCGGTTTTGACTTCTGAGACATATTGTGACCATTTCACATATTTTCTTCATCAGCGTTGGTTACAATTATTTTTATTATTTAATTGCATATGACATGTTTTATTTTATTTTATTTTATTTTTTTGAAAAATATGTCTAACTTATAAGTTTAGTGCGTTACTCTTTTTACAACTAATTAATTTTGGGATGGAACTTTACGGCTTTTCTTGTTATAGTGCGTTTTACGTGCGTGTAATTTCGTTCAGGTCATTTTTAGAGTGTTTAGATTAGAGTGTTTTAACGTCATTAGGATTTAATTTCTCGTTATTCGACTAACACGTGATTTAACTCAGCAATTATAAGCTAGTGACATATGCAATAATAAGCTTTTGTGTGATTAATTGTTTTGTTATAAACTAATTATAGACAACAAAAAAACGAGAAGCACAAAAGCTACAAATATGGGTAGCAAATTACAAGAACCTCTATTCTCAGATGACAAAAAAGAAACGATGATTCCTTGTTGTTCTCTAACATAGACAGACAACCATAATTTCCACCACAAATTCAATCTATAAACCAGAAAAAACAAAACCCAAAATATTACACATACGTATTAAAAAAAAAAAAGCAATAGTAAAAAAAATATATATATCGTCCACCACCACACCTTCCATTACATGTCTGAAGAAACCGGGCCTCCCCACCACCCTTCCCGGGCCCACGGGCCTAACCAACACCCCTATACATATACACGTTTAACCGCCCTCGAGATCGGCGGG